CCATCACCACTGTAGTGCCTGGAGCACGGTGAGCACACATAGCTCTCTTTCTTTAAATATTATTTTATCATTTGCTTGTACATTTTTGTGGGGTACAGTGTATTGTTTCAGTATATGCATATATAACTGTCTCTTGAATGAATCAATGCCTAGAGGAATTATGTGTTGGAAGAACGAACCAGAAGCTCTTTTTAAACAGATGCATTTTAAAAAATGACTGTATTATTCTATTTCTGGGGAAGTCTAGAGACACTGAAGTCCTTTGAAGTTAAAATTTAAAAGAGCAAAAAGGCAGATCTGCAACCAGATTTCAAATACAGTATGAATGAGCACAGATCAAGGACAGGAGGAGGTCGATGTCACTTGACAGGACAGCTGTATTTCTGTGAGTTGATCATGACGTGACTTTATTTATGATAATTTTATATTCTTATCTATTACTCTGATAAAATCAGATATTTGTTCATATGGTTCAGCAGACATGACTTGAACAGGAATCCTTCAGTGGATGGAGGAGGAACAATGCTGGCCAGTGATGTGCGGCCACTATTATCTTCCAATAGGAGAACGTCTTCTCAACTCCCTGAATCTCTCTGCCATCACCTGTCTCCAGTTTTCTTTTGATCACAGGAATATCATCCGTGCTTGGGGAATGCTTAACTTCACAGTACAGCTGCAGAAGTGAGTCTCTCCTTGGCCCCCCGGCTCCGTCAGTGTGAGTGACGTGTAATGCCACATTTCACCAGTAGAGGTCGCCACCCCCCACCCCCGTAAAAGCAAAACACCCCTGACTCCCTCCCTGCTCTGGAATGTGCCATCCATCCTTCCCGGACTGCCCCTTCCAAGGAGCTGCAGTGCCCCATCTCTGGCTCCCCGATCCTTGAAGATCAGTTCAGTTACCAGGGAGTAGGCTCTAGTCCACATCTCCTGGAAGAGGCCCGTTCCTTCTTCCTGTCCCCCAGCTATTGCTGTCATAGCTTTTGGTGACCTCCCATCCCACCCCACCATGCTGGCCTGCCCTACTCTCTCGCTGTCACTCTGGAGTACCAGTTGAGGGTTTCCCCAGACCCTGTCAGCCCACCGAACACCCTGCCCCTTGGAAGCCTAGGGTTCCCATTAGCACAATTTCATTATACTGTGAGTGAGGCAGGCATTCATGGGCTGACCTGAGCACCTGAACGTCGTACTAGAATTACCTCTGCAGAAAAAACTCAGTCTGATTTTCAAAGGAATGACTATAATGATGGGAGCATCACCCACTCAATAGCTGAGGGTAGTCTGTATGTTCCATCCTGAAGATCGTCATACTCATGGAGTCAGGTTCTGAGAAATATTTCCCACCCAATGAACTGTCCCAGTTAGATGAGCTGTGGCTCCACGTAAAATAAAGTACAGCATTAGAAGTCAGGAGAGTGGCAGCCCTTTGGGGGACAGTGGCTGAGTGGAGCACAAGGGGGACATTGGGGTGCTAGTCATGTTCTATTTCTTGGTCTAGGTGCTAATTGCACAGTATTTTTACCTTGTGAAAATCCATTATGCTCTGTAGCAATGATCTGGGCACTTATCCGTATGTATGGCATACTTCCAAGTAAAGTTAGCTTTAAGGATCCATATATTAGGTTTACTGAATACGCAGGATGCCTCAGTAAATTCTTGAATTCCCAGTATAGCCTGAAGAAAAGCTAAAAACAAAAAACCAACCAACCAACCCCCAAAATGATAGAATATCAGGTCCTGGGAACAGACCTAGCAATGTTTTTCACTAAGATGGTTTCATAGGTAATTTCAGGCAGATGCCTTTTTATTCATGTATTGTTAAGTTGGGGCAGTGAGGAGAGTTTGGTTTTGAAATGCTTCCAGCAGGTTTTGCTCTTCATGCGCTCGCTGAGGCTCATTACCTGAGGGCTGGCACACCTGCTCCCGTTTCGGGTCCCCCCCATTGGGCTTGACACCAAACACAAATCCAGTATGCAGGGGCCCCAGAGGTGCAGGGCTAAGGATGGGCACTAATGAGAGCACCCAGTGGGACTCGCTTCGGCCCCAAGGTCAGTGCTGCAACAGCAGACGGGCTGCATTGCTGCCTCCTTCCTGAGGGGCATCCCTGACATCTGGAGAAGGCAGCTCTGTGTGCCCTCTTAACTCTTGATGGGCAGCGCATCAGCCCAGCCCAGCAGGGAAACCCACACTGCCCTTTGGTTAGAGGCAAACTTCCCCTGAGACTCCACAGGCTCCACTGTCCTGGAGGACCTGAGATCTGCAAAGCCTGTTCTGGGGCAAAGAGGTAAGAGGGCTTGCGCTCAAGCCCGACTGCCTGCGTTCAATCCCAGCTTTGCCACTTATCAGCTGTAGGCCCTGGGCAAGTTATTCACTCTCTCTGTGCATCTGTTAAGTGGGGATAAGAAAAGTACCTCCTTAAGAAGCTGCTTGTGAGTAGTGACTAAGTTAATCCTTAGAACAGGCTTAGATCAGTGCCTGGCATGCACTAAAATATAAAACATATACTTTGGCTTTTAGAAAAATCCTCATTTGTGTCATGAGATAGTTTGTTATAAAAGAGTTCTGAGCTCCAGTGAGTTTGGGAGATACTCAATTCCCTTTGTGAACTGGGGTATTCAAGGCTCTGCAGTAGAGAAACTGGCATAATCTGATGCTATCCTCAGGACAGAAGCCGACCTCCAGCTGGTTCACAGGTTGGTATTCACAGCTGGTTGGTGCCTGTGCTTTTCTGGAGTGTTCAATATTTTGATATCATCAATATTTTGCTGAGGGGGTGGTTTTCTATAGAACAGCCTTTGGAAAACACTGGAAGTTCTACCTCCCCTGGTCGGGCCATCTTTATGATATAGACACTTACAAAGCATGTATTATGTGTCGGGGATCATTAGAAGGACATTGAGGTATTGACTCATTTTATCCTCACAACCACCCTAAAAGGTTAGTACAGTGATTGTCCTCATTTTCAGATGGGGAACCTGAGTCAGGAGAAGTGAAGTAGTTTGACTGGGGCCATAAAGCTTGTAAGTGGCAGAGCCAGGATCTGAACCCCTGCAGTTTGGCTCCAGAGCCCATGCTCTCAACTGCTGTGCCACACTGTCCCTCGTGTCCCTCTGAGAAGCCCGTGGGGTATGTGATGGTTGGTGGCACAAACTCCTCAGAGCCTCTCGGGCAGACTGGTCCTCCCTGGTGCTTCTCATGGTCACAATGCTGGGGCATCTCCCATGGCCTCCCCTTGCCTTTGGCTGTTGACCTCGGTGGCAGGCAGAGGGCCTCAAGGCCATCATCCATCTCTATGTTCTCCACAGAAACACACAAGGCCCGTGGCCCGCCAGCAGGGACTGTAGTGTCTATAGACTCTCCAAATGAACGACCCTAAAGAGATTTTTAAGAATTAATCTCATAATAGTTCAAAGGCTGGAGTAATGTCTGGAAGGGGTTGAGGCATTTTCCTTGCTGGGAATGTAGGAGTCAGTAGGGGTGAATCCCAAGGGGTCACAGCCAGGCTCAGCTGGCCCTGTCTACATGAACAGCCTTCTCCCAGGGCCTGGCTTTCCAGAGACCTGGCAGGGTCTGCATTCTGTTTCTCTAGGGAGCTGCTCCCATCTCCCTCCTCCTGCTTGATTCTATGTCCATATAGACCTGGTCTAGTCACAGCATCTCAGAGAAGCCCACCCTTCCTTTCCTCCCTTCTAAATTCTCACGTGTCGCCTGGCCTCTAACTGCCCAATTTAACACTGTTTTATACAAACCGCCTCGTATGCTATTGGGGCACATGTGTTGGTAGCATCTCCCCAGCTTTAGTGCAAGTTTCTTGAGTTAGAAGATATCTAATTTGCCCACATGCCCAAGTGCTTTGGGACATAATGGGTGCTCAGAAAAACAGCTGCCCCACAAGTGACTGCACAGATCATTAGCTTTAGCCAGTTGGGGAACCGTTGCCACCAGTGGCTATGACGGCAGCAGTCCTACCCGAAGGGCATATCAGGCTAAGGGACCATTCAGATCTGTGAACCTTGTTCTCTGCCAACAACTGTAACAGCCTCAAACCCCTCATACCTTGCTCGCTTTCAAGATCTCAAACATCAGGGGCAGGCCTTGGGTAATGAGCTCCTCCGTGTATTCTTCCTCCTGAATGGTCTTAAACTCCTTTAGCAAGCACTGGATGAGAGGCCTGCGGTGCTGCTGGAAGGCGATCCGCAAAGACTCCAGCCATGTGTGCAGAGTCCACGGGACACCTGGGAAGGGAATAGGAGCCAGGGAAGGGGGGAGGGGACGGGAGGAGAGGGGAAGGCAGAAACAACCAAAGAAGAAGGCGTGTTTTTATCTAGAAGTTGGCCTTTCCCCAGGACATTACCAAATTATGAGATCAAGGGACTGACTTTCAATGAATAGAGCCAGTGTTGGTTTTTCATCAAAGACTTGCAGAAGTTGAAATTAAAGGTCATAATCCCATTCCCTTAACTATGGGTGTCCATCTCTGCATGCTATGCATATTACCAGGGGCTACATTTTACAACATGATCACTGTGTAGAATATTTGAATCATATGCATACTACTTATGCATACTTCTGAGTTCTAAGTTCATAGTCTCCATCCCTTCTACTTAATGGGGAGAGAGACGGTCAGGGAGAGAAAGTCTTGGCCAGGATTAAAGACTGCATGTGCCCAAGGATCTGGGACACGTCCAAGCCCAGATGAGAGCTTAGAGCTGGTGAAAGCCACTGGCGGACTCTACCATCTACATCTCTGGCTAGGATGGATATTTACATCTGAGTACGAAGACACAGGAGGAGATTGCTGCTGCTCCCCTGTGCAAAACAACATTTCCATCTGCAGGCACTTCATCAGGGCTTCCTTCTTTAATAGAAGCCTCTCCAGCATCTGATTGCTGTGATTTGCTTCTCTGCTCGTGTGTGACTACACTGTATGACAAGTAGACCATTCAGAGTCTTGAGCTTCATAATCATGCAAAATAGGCTCTCAGGGCAATGACATAAATGTCCCACATACTAAACAGCCATGCCCAAGAGAGGCCAGTTTCCAGAAGATCGTTACAGAGGCCTCTCATCAGCCCTCAGCCTGCTTCGATCTGCCACACCCTGTGTTTGGGGACCATTGCTAGGTCCCGCTGCACCCAGGCTCAGGCTAAAGCCACTCGACTGGTGAAGGTTAGAAGAGCCTCATTCCCTGGCCGCTCAGAGCAGAGGGCTCTGGGCTAGCTCACTCAAGGAAGAGCACCCTAACTTTCCTGAGAGTGGCTTTGGCCCCCGAAGCTCAGTGGGAGGAGTCCTGCTCGGGAAGGGTGCCCTCACCCTAGCTGCTGCCTAGCTGCTGCTTCCTGGAGATGGGTGCTCTCAGGCAGCGATTCTTAACCACTGGGAACCACCTGGGATGATTGTTAAATATAAAGATTTCCAGCCTTTATCCATCCAGACCCTCGACAGCAGAGCCTCTGGGTGTAGGGCCTGGCAATCTGTATTCAGACAAGCTGCCAGGTGATCTGGGTTCCTGACCCAATGTCCAGAGTTTGGGAATCACGGACAGATGATCTGAGATGGGTGTTCGGGGCAGGCAGGATGCTGCCATCTATGGGGACCGAGTGGGTATCTTAGCCTGGAAGTGTTCCAACCAGCAAGGAGAAGCTCCCTGGGCCCCCTTGGGACGTGTGTGCATGTGTGTGTGTTTGTGGGTGACCTAGAGCTGGGCAGCAGGACCGTGCCCAGCAGGGGAGGGAGCCCGGACTGACCTATGCTCCTGATATCAATTGTGACATCCACGTAGCCATGCTCAGCGCTGTGATACATGGCCTCCCTCAGGGCCCTCAGTTTGGCCTTGCTGTTGCGGCTGGCACACAGAGGGGGCGGGGCTGTCTCTGCCAGGTCAGTGCCCTCGGCCAGAATCTCCTCCAGGGACAGGATATCACTCTTCTCCTTCTCTGGCTGAGCGAGCAGTTTGCGGAACACATTCCTGTCAATCATAAACCCAGAGAGGAAGACACTCAGAGATGGAAGTGGCTTTGCTGAGGTGGGGGCAAGGCGGGTGGGAACGGGGAGGCCACTCGGGACAGGGCAATGACAGGACCAACTCCAGGATGGCCATTTTAGAGGTCTGACCATGGGTGCTACATTTGGGGGATGGAGGAGATGGGGGAGCATGACTGGCCTTATTTCCTTGAGGGCAACTTGGAGCTGAGTTCCTCAAATGCCTAGAAGTTTCTAGAACTCCACCCTTTTAACTGTTAGCCTGCACTCCCTCCACAGTGAATTTGCTTTACTTGGGATTATGTGTGATAAAATCTGATGAGGTAAATTATGAAGGAAACTTAAAAGGGAAGTAACCAAACGTGAGGTGTTTCTTGTTTTTTAACGAATTCTTCTTTCTTCGTGACAGCTGACATAATGCACTCTGACCCAAACTGGCAGAGTGAAGTCTCTCTGTGAGGTGAAAGCTGGCTGGGGATGGACAGGACAGGCCGGTCGGAGCAGATGTGCACTGCGTGGTGTTGGCTGCTAGCCGAGAGCTGGCGGTTAAGGTCACCGGCCAGGCCTGGGGCCTGGACCACCTCACGCTGCCTCTGGGCCCCACATCCAGAGATATAATGGGTCTGGGTAGGCCTGGGAATCTGCATTTTTAACAAGCACCACTCGGGCCCTTGTGGCTTTGGCCCATCCTAGCCTACCTGTGTCCGTGGGCTGCAGCCTGGCTGAAAGAGTTCATATCACCCTGGGGGGTTGTAGAAATTCCATTCCTGTACATGGTTCCTATCAGGGGATCCGCACCACGCTCCAACAGCAAACTAACCAGCTCAAAATTTCCTGCAAGCCCAGAGAAGGGGGTTTTATAAGAGAATAAAGCAAAGATACAGTCATAGGCACATCCAGGGCCAGGGCGGTGGACACCCTTGGCCCGGGTGAGAATCGGCAGCTCTTACCTACAGCGGCTGCGAGCTGGAGTGGCGTTTCTGAGTAATTCTCCTCGCCGTGCTCCACAGAGCCTTCCACCTTGGCCCCAGCATCCAGGAGGAGCTGTGAAGGAAGAATGGCCATGGAGATGTTCAAGGGACATGCGCTGTGAGAGGGTGTCAGTCAAGACTGGTGGGAACCAGTGAGATGCCAACGCTTCTTCCCCCCCTCTGGGTCAGTGACTGCGTGCACAGGGCTGGAGGGTAATTGCGTCTCAGAGGATGAACTGAAAGCCTCTGGTATTTTCCAGAACCCCGGACTGCTCAGAGTGTGGTCCATGCACAACGTAAGTCCCACCTGGGATCTTGTTAGAAGTGCTGACTCTCAGGCACACCCCCAGACCTACTGAATGAGAATCTGCATTGTAACAAGATGTCCAGGGGATTTATATGTACACTACAGTGTCTAGAAGCACTGAGCTAAAAGTCCTTGCCACCAGAATGTTGGGTGACCCTTCTTAGGTCGGTTGTAGCCTCAGAGGGTATTAGAGTGGTCTCTTAAAACCATAGCTTCTCAAGAATTCTGAAGGACTTTGCGGACCCCCTTGGCCAACCAGGGCAAGAATCCCTTCTAGAATACCCTAGATGGCTCTGAGGACAGTTTAGCAAGTGCTAAGTTTTCTGGCCAGGAAGATTAGTTAATAAAGCAGCAGAGTGAGCTTCCAGAAATTTTGCAACATAGAATTCCAATCTGTGCATTCTCTAAGATATCAAGGCTTCTTAAAGGAGGCAAAGATTGTGTCTATGCTGGATGTCACATACAGTGAATGTGCTGTTAGCACTGCTAATGGAAAATGGAAAAAAAAATGCCATCTTTACTACCCACCTAGGGCTACTTGAGGACATGGCCAGGTGGGAGTTGCCTACCTGGCATTCCATGACTCACTGCACCTGCAGCAGGGGGGTGGCCTGACTTCTGCATGGCTTTGCTTGGCTGCCCAGTTTTCCCATTTCTGATTTGAAGGCTGGGATGCCACTGCATGCTAAGGATGGCATCTGTGTTCACCAGATCACCATCTGGCCCCTTTCTTAGATTTCTCTACTAGGAGCAGACTGAGCATGAGTGGCAGACGCCACTCTCGGTGTGATGTCACACATGCCGTCTCCTGAAAGGATCTGTCCTAAGGATTCCCGTGACCAGGGAAACAACAAAGGATTCCTGTAAAACTCAACATTGCTGCGCTGTCCCTGCAATACTATTCCTTGCTCAGCACAGAATTAAGAGGTATAGACCCAATAAAAGGAGGTGAGTTCTTGATGCACCTGAAGCTCAGCACTCACTATGAGGCCAGGTGTGGTCATGGTCCTGGAGGCTGATCTCTCTTTTCCAAGTTTAAGATCTAGAATGTACTGGATGGCTATTCATTGAACACCAACTCTACAACAGCCAGAAAAAGTGCAAGTGATACACACTTGTATACCCAAAGGACCTCTGATGAGGACACTTCACCATACTTGGAGCTGTTTCAGAAGACACATACTAAAGCCCTACTCTAGACCTCCTGGACCAGATTCTCAAGAAATGGGATCCAGGCAAACATCATTTGGGAATACTCCCTTGGTGACTTGGATGCTTCTTCCCACTGGCTGGAAATCACCAGATTCTACGCAAACAACAGGGTTCTCAAGAAATGGGATCCAGGCAAACATCATTTGGGAATACTCCCTTGGTGACTTGGATGCTTTTTCCCACTGGCTGGAAATCACCAGATTCTACGCAAACAACAGGGTTGCACCTACGGGGAGGTTTCAAGGTATCAACACCAGCCAAGACCCATGTTCATGTTATGACAAGCAAAATGAACAAATCCACAAATAAAAGTGGAGGCCCCACCCCAGAGCAACCAGGAAGAACTTCATAGGTTTGCCACTCTCTGTGTGAGGCTGCATGTGGGTACATGATGATTTCATATTGGCTAAAGCCAGGCCATATAGATCATTACATATAATATTTTTATTCATATGATATGAATATGATATATTTAACTGCAGTTAACCAATATGAATCTCTTAGGGAATATGCATGCTGGGAAAGGTATAGATTTGCGTTATGGAAGAGGTAAAATTAAAAGTCAGATGTGGATAGGGAAATACGTTAATACCTGAACTACAGGAATATGTCCATGCAACACAGCAAAAGTCAGAGCCGTCCAATGGCGGGTCTCGGGGTGGACGGATGGATATTTATGTGGAGTACTGACAACCTATAAACAAATTGAAGTTATTTTCAAAATGTGACCTTAGCAACACTTAGGCTAGCAGACTGGACCTATCTGTTGCTGGGCACATGGGTTAGAGATGCACAAAAAGACACCCTGGAAGGTGCTTTGGGAAGTATTGATGATATAGGGTATGGAATTTCTCTTACTGGATGCCCCAAACGCCTGTCATCAGAACTGGCATCTGTCCTGCTTGTGTTTATAAAAACAGAGACTAAAGCAATCCTCCAAAGGCAGCCATTGGAAGGCCATGTGAAACTTTCTCAGTGACTTTATGTCCTCTATGTGTAATAAGGACTCCTTTGCTTCTCCTCTGAAAAGAATGAAGGGATGACTTCCAGTCACCTCTAAGGTGCTTCAGAGAAGCTGCAGTGGCGGTTACAATAAGCCCACTCCCCTGCCTGTCTCTTTTCTTTCTGATTAAGGGAGGGTGGTGGTTCCAAGAGCTATAGGACGTCAGACAGCATGAGATACCACTATGATTCCATCCACACTTTTAAGAGAAACTCTCAGTGGCGGCAAACCCCAGGCAACGGGAGGTCTGCCTCGAGCTTTCAAACCAGTGGAGAGCATCACTCATCTGATGGAGGAACTTTCCCATCTGCTCACAGCTCACCCCGTGCTATGCTCATTTCACTCTTTTGTTGCTTCCTGGTTGATAATGACCCTTGTGCTACTGGTAACGCAGGCACGAAACCTTCCCTGCACACATCACAAATGAGCAATCTGAGATCGGCCTTTCAGTGTGGGGGCCTCAAAATACCCCAGGCCAAGACAGAAGCAGCAGGGCAGCTGAAGGTTGGGGTCTTGCAAGATTAGCACCCACATGCAGCTTTTATCCCAAACATTCCTGGGGCCATGTGACCTCGATGCCTGCTTCATTCAGAGCAGTTCAGCTCACTAAGCGCCTGTCGGAGGAAGGCCCTGAGCTGAGACCCATGGGATGGGCTAGAGAGGAGGACCAGAGAACCCCACCAGGACCCAAAGCTGAGGAGCCCTGCGGGGGTCTGCAGGGTGGTTAGGGATTCACAGCAGGGGAAAAAAAATCTCCAAATGTTTGAAACGTGTAAGACTCAACATGGTTCTGGATCCAAAACTGTGTCTACTGTCAGCTTTTCTCTAATGAATATAAAACTCATTAATTAAAAAAAAAAAAAACAAAAAACCAACACAGTACTGAGACTGCAAGGGCATCTAATTTTGAACTAAAAATGTTTCCCAGGGTTGCTGAGTTATGAGTGCAGCACGTCAATCTTTCTGGTGTCTGAGACTGCCAATATCTGGCTGCCAGAATTCATGGGTCCTCAGAAGGCATATAACATGGTCAAAAAAGTGGGATTTCACCTATTAGGAGCCTTGAAGGGGGGTGGAGAGACTAGTATTAAGTAAGTCCCAGACCTGTGCTAGGGTACTCTCCATATCTATTCCTTCCAGTAGCTGTCTGAGATGGGTGCGATTATTCTCCAATTTTGCAGATGGGGACACTTGCCAAAGCACAAAAGCAAGCCACATCGATGGTGGTGGTTTCAGAACTTGAACCCAAGTCTGTCAAATGCTAAAGCCTGGCGCGCGTGTGTGTGTGTGTGTGTGTGTGTGTGTGTGCCCACATCGATGGTGGTGGTTTCAGAACTTGAACCCAAGTCTGTCAAATGCTAAAGCCTGGCGTGTGTGTGTGTGTGTGTGTGTGTGTGTGTGTGCTTTCTGTTGTACCACACTGCCTCAGGGAAGCTTTGAGATTAGCTTTAAGAGCCTTCAATTTAGCCAATGAGGTGAGCCAATTAGGATTTGGTTGGGGAGGGCAGAGGATCTGGGGAAGGGAAATCGCTCAAGGGACTGGGCTAGGGCTTCCTCTGCTTGGTCTTAGTCAGAGGCAAAGGGCTGAGGCTCAGGAGAGCTCTTCCTGCCCTATCCCAGAGGAATAGATTGGCAGTGCAAATCAGGCACTTGGGACTGCTGACCCAAGGAAAAGCCAGTGTTCCTACAGCTACGTTGGTTGTTTTAAAACAAAACACACATTCGGGTAGCTCCTTGGAGTTTGGTTGGGCTGGGGCCTCAGGATGGACAAAATCTGTCAGGTGGTCTCACCAGGGCCACAGCAACTAAAAGGCAGAGGAACGATCTGTTTGTTGAAGTGGGCTCCCTCAGCGGTGGCTCTGGGAAGAAGCAGCCCCGCTCTCTGGTTCGACTTCGCTTCAGGACTGCCAGTCCCGTGCACCCTCACCTCCACATTCAAGTCAGCTCCGGCATCCAGCAGCATCTGAACCATTGCCTCATCCCCACGGACGCAGGCATACATCAGGGGGGTCATGCCCTGCGATGAATTAAAAATCGGAGAATTTAATCGCAGAATTATAAACGGAGAATGTTTATAAGGTGACTGTGGTCAGTTGATGAAAACAGATGGAAGATCTTATTTGTGTTTAGGAGGCTATGCCAGTGCTCAAAATCTAGCATGACAAAAATAAATGTTCAGCCCTATGACTTGCAAAGTCTCAACCCTCCACATTTTGGAAACCAAAATGCAGGCGAGAGGGAGCTTACATTGCCTT